ATGAAAATATTTTAGACACGTAAAAAAGAGTTACAATATGTTAGAATCAATAATCTTATTATTATATCATGAAACACATAATTTACATCTTGACAGGATTTAAATAATCAAAATCAAAATCATTCAACCCCACTACCCCCCAACACACGAAGAACCCCAAATTAACAAACCATGCTATTTGTACAAAGTTGCCATCGCTAATTTATTGTTTGCAGCACCCCATATGTATAGCTTTGGGAAAGGATTATCAGTCCAAAAACCTAAAAGAAAACTGATTCATAACAAGAACTCGCCTGCTAGCTTTAAGATAAGTTAAGACCTGCAGGTTAATTATGGGTAGATGCATAACTATTAACAAGAGCCACAAGGCATTGCTCGTCAAGTGTGCAACATTCAGAACCTGACTCCTCACAGCGGTCTTGACATTCCCATTCATGGCATCCCCTGAGAAGCCGTCCATGCGAGTGTCATCATCAGTCAAGGCTGCACTAAGCCATATCTCTATGTCACTCATTCTCAGGCTAAAATCTTTGCCTCCAGTCTCACCCATTTCACTAATAGACCTATGGAGCTCATAAACAGAGTCCTTCAATTCTTCCACGCAATCATGCATAGCTGCAGCCAGGGACTGAGCGAGAAAATAATCTTTGGGGGGGCAAAGTGTTATTTGAAATGTGTATGCTAAAAACGAATTTCTTGACTTGTAATTTATAAATAAGATTAAGATTTAAATATACAAAAACTAAAATTTTAAATACTTTAAATGTAGAAAAACTTGTTAAAATTTATGTGTATTTAAATTTCAATATTAAATACAACTTCTATCACAAAATTAATATTACTTAATATGATCCAGATAAAAAATCTAAATGTTCTAAAGAATTGATAATACAAGTTTCAAATCAATTTTGTTTTATTGTTTGTAACAAATAATCATTAACTATACATATATGACAACAACAAACATGTCAAATAAATAAAAATATTTTATTAAATTTATTTTATTTATTAAGTGGTTAGTAATTTATCATAAGATTTATAAAAGAATAAAAGTTATAACACATCATTTTATTTTTTTAAAAATGGTTTATTTGATTTTTCTTAAGAGTATAGGACCTATTTAATTTTTTTTCAAAAGTCTAGGGGCTGCGAGTGCCCCCCCTTGCACCCCCCCTGGCTGCAGCCTCTCTAGGCTTAAGGCCCTGACTTTTGGAGAGCTTTGTCATTATGGTGGAAGTAGAACGGGCGGCGTCAAGGGTCAGAGAGAGGACAGTGCTGGCTAACAACATGGGGCTGGCTTGGGTTTGCTTGCATAGCTAGAGAGGGAGGTGAAGCACAAGTCAGGATAGGTTGTGGCGTGACATGTCGTGTTTATGAACTGAGTGTTTGTTTCAATACTACTAAGATTTGGTCTAGCTGCTGCTAAGCATAAATTGATGGGGGAAATGGAAAAGTAAATAAGGATGAAGAAGGAAGTTGTTTGAGCAAATTTTGAAGCTGCCCCTGCCATCACTACTCTACACATAGAACCGAAATTTGGGAATTTGATGAATTTAGTGGAGTGAGGGATCTGAATATATGGAGAAAAGGGACAAGCCTGTGGTTCCCACATAAAGAACAACTGATTCAAGTAAAGCCTTGGGATGATGCTCATCCCAATTCAACCTTATCTTTTCATCTGATTATTCATAACTTGCAATGTTTTCGGTAAACTAGTGTTTCATTCTCAAAGACCACCAACAAGAGTATCTAGTTTTTAACCTCTAACTAAAAAACTTTAGTTTGAGGATTAACGTTGAGATTCAGATGATGCTAAGCAACTTAACTTCCAAGATACAAATATAATATGTATATATATATATTCAGTCATTTTTTCATTTTCAAGATAAAGCCATGGACTGAAGAGTCCCCATGCTATTCATTTTTTGTTTCCTTTTTCTTGCAGAGGTAATCTGCAGTCACCGCTGCATCTCTGTTTTCTCATTATTTTTACAGCAAAAATATGATGATTCTAGTCCAAATAAAATACCACGGAGTATGATTTTGTATATTTAGAATCTAAAGAAATAAAGATTTTGTCTTCTCTTTTTGTATATCAAGGTCACAACATGAAAACTACTTTAATCTTTTCATACAATCTGTGTCTCCAAAATCCATGTCCTGCTTTTATTGCTTGCATGGACCATGAACATGACAGCCCTGTAGCACCAAAAAAAATCTCTATCCCACTTAAATGTAGAACACTAACATTAAAATGATCGAACAAACAATATATCTCCATAAAATTATAATTTACTTCTCAATTTTATAGTTCATTTCCTATTCATTTTACACTACTATCACAAAGAAATTACAATCCCCTGCTTCTAATTTTTCAGATATCTAGTGTAGGCTTATATTGAGCATATACACAACTTAATAATTCAAACTTGCTTTTTCTCGAGAACCAAACAGAAAATCGCTAGGGTCTGTTGCTAGGATTTGAGGCATACTTGTTGATGATAGCCAAGGCATTGCTTGTCAAATGGGCAATCCTTACAACATGTCTCCTCACCATATTCTTAACCTTTCCATCCATGGCCCGACCTTCAAATCCATCAATGCAGGTATCGTCATCCGTCAGTGCCGCGCTGACCCATGTCTGAATATCACTCATCGTGATGTCAAAATTGGTGCGGTTGATGTGACCCAGTTCCCCTATGGACTGCTGTAGCTCATCCACGGAGTTCCCAATCACCTCCATGCAATCGGCCACTGCTGCCGCCTCCTTCCGCGTCAACCCGTGGATTCTCGAGATATTTTTCATCAACCTTGAACCGGAGGCTGTTGCTTTGTGGGTGACATTGAGGGCGGTGTCGGCTAAGAGCCTGGGGCTGGAGTTGATTTTGCTTGCATAGATCGAGAGGGAACGGTAGCAGAGCCTGGGGTAGGTTGTGGTATTGCAAGAGGTTTTGATGTATTCAATGTTTTTTGGGGTTTGGAAAGGTGAAGTAGCTGAGACTGAGGCTCTGTAGGCGGGTAAAAGAAGGAGAATGAACAGGGGGAGTAGTGTGACTAAAGTTAGATTTTTCATTTTTCTCTGTTATTAAGAGATTGGTATGAAAGGGAATTTTATTTTATGATTCTAAATAGAAGAGAAATGTTGATTTATATAAAGAAACTAAGAAAGTTTTAGCTTGTGGTTCCCAGAAATGAGCTGGTCTGATGACTCTGATCTGAGGGAGGAATGACGATAAATGTATCGGAGATAAGACAGCAGAGGCGGTAACCGAATGGATGAGGACTGCAGGAGTCGTGTCAATTCTTGTGCCATTGATCATTCCCAGCTGTCGAACCATGCAAGGACAGAGTTTAGGTCTCGTATCTAGTTAGTGGTAAATTTTATTAGAATAATTTTTATTAAATTTTTTTTTTAAAGTGTTGTATAAAAAATTAATAAATTTTATAGTGAAATTTTATTTAAATTTTATTAAATTGTTAATTTTTTTATATTTAGTAAAAAATTAATATAAGTTAATAAGGAAGTTATCGAGTAAATCTTATATAAAAAATAAGAAAAAAATTTTATTTTAAAAAAATATGAAATTTTTTTTATAAATTATGAATTATGTGAAGGAAAATAAAAATTAAAAACATCATTTTCACTCTTTTTTTATTATAATATTAGTGTATAAAAATATATAAATAACTTTGTTAAGGAAATAATTTTAGAAAAATTTAGAGGAAAAGTCGCTCAACACTAAACACTGTTAGAATTTGTTCCGTTTCAGAGAAATTTTGGAGAAAAAGAGGACAGAAGAGGATAAATTTATATGTCTAACTAAATTAAAATGTTAGTTTAAAGTTTTAATTAACTTGGTTTGTTGATTTTTTTTTTTCAATTCAATTGTAACACTACCCAGTTAATCTTAGGGATTTTATTAATTGGTACTTTCTCTTTATTATATTCCAAAGAATGACTTAAATTGCTATTCCTAGTCCTTTGAAAATTAGGATAAAGACACTTGAATTGTTACAGCATAAAACAAGTTGGAAAGTAATCTATTTAAAAGTTACAAAACCAAATCCAAATATGGTAATTAATGAGAAGTAACAAGAGGGGTCGGGTTTTTAGGCCCAATGGTTCAACCTCAAACTTTAAGTGTTTTTGTGAGGTGGTCGGAGTTTTGAATTTTATCACCATCGTGAATTTCACCAAAAAGTGATTCGATGACCGCGCGCCTCATTCAAGGCGATGAAATGTTTACCTAATCTGGAGATCGAATCTCCAGTTGCTAACAACTAATTTAAACTAATTTTTTAACCATTACTCTTGTTAAAAAAAATAAAAAAGTAACAAGATGGGAAAATGATGGAAGAAAGAGTCCAAACGAATTAATTCCCTTGGAATCTTGACCTCAAAAATTAGAGTGCTACGAGTAGTTTGTACATTTATGAGGTGCTAGTATCTTACCCAATCATCATCCATTATCATGAAGAGAAATAGCAAGCTGGTTATTTAGTTCATTGTATACATGAAAAGAAAAAAAATACCCACCGGAGGGAGAGCGTGCTGCTTTGCCATGCATGGAATAAGAGACAAAAGTCATGAGTTCGGTGAAAGAGGACAAAGATTGTATCAACATCAATATGCTTCCATAAATTAAAATTAAAAAAAAAATAAAAGCACAAAAAAATCGTGCACGCAATTAATATAAGGACAATCAATTCGACAACATCAACCACTTCCGTCCTTTTCTTTCATTATTCATGATTAGGAAATAAATAAATATTCTGATCTAAACCGAGTGAGGTGCTATATTAGTTGGGATGAAGATCAAATAATGAGGAGATTGGTGTATAGAAAAACAATAATTTATATGGAAAATAAATGTGACTAAGGCTTCCTACCTAAAAAAAAAAAAACTGATTTAAGGCTTCAAGATCAGGTGCATTTTGTTCAAGTACTTTTAGTTTTTTTTTTTTTTATGTACAACTGTTATAAAATAAAAAATGTATTTTTAAAAGTTTTTATTTAATCTATATTAAATTTAAACATACAATCTTTAACTTGATGTATTAAGTTTTTTATTTTCGTTCTTTGTTGCCATAAAATTGAAGGAATCTCACCCAATACTCATGAACAAATCCCTAGAAGAGAGAGAGAGAGAGAAATTCCCCACCAAACCCACATGGCAATCGACATATCAATTATTGAGAATGGAATCCCAATTCTTAGAGACCTACCGATTGTCCTATCATTGTTTCTTCAGCCTTTTTCAAGAATTAATATCTCCAAACGTATACTGACTTACTGAGTGAGGTGTTATCTTAGGAAGGAGATGAATGAGGAAGAACTAATTCGGGAAACATTTATTTAGTTAGAATATATATGCCATTAAAGTTTCAGAATAACAAAATCAATTTGGTGCATGTGCTTTTATTGTACCCAAAAAAACTAAAAGCAACTTAGTGTTTCAATCAGTAAAAGTTTTGAAATATTATTTACAAGTTTCAACTTTTGGATGCGTTTGAGATTGAAATTATACTTGAAAGATTTTTCATGTAATTGTACAATGTTATTAGATATATATGTGTTTGATAATATTTTTATATTATGTTTTTTAAAAATTACAAGAAATCACAATAAATTTATAATAATCTTATATATTAAGTCAAAATTTTCATTTTAAAACTTTTTCATTGTAATTTTTATGAAGAATACATAATATTTAATATAATTAAAAAAATTAGCTATTAAAACTCAACTTCGTATAATTTAATTATATCATAATTTAAAATATTTTAATAACGATAACAAATCTAAAAACCTAAATTATTAAAAAATGATAAATATTATCTATTTTAATAATTATATATCTTACAATATTTTTAAAATTT